CTCCTGCATTGAGCATCTGCCCCCTGGTGGTCAGTGTGTGTCATAGTGACCAATCATTCCCAGTCTTTCTGCTGTTAGGGTCAGTTTGCATATCACCCTTTTATTATATAGGATAGAGGCCTGGTGCACATGTGGGAGCCGGCTGGTTTGAACTGAAGGTGTCCCAGATCAGGGTGGGGGTCCCGCTTGGGAGCCTGGCCAGCCTGGATGAGGGGATGATGGCTGTTTGCAGCTGGTCGCACCCCCTTCAGGGGGAGGGTCCCTACTGGGGTGCTGGGCCAGTCTGGGTGAGGGGCTGAGGGCCGTTTTCAGGCTGGCGGGTGACTGAAGCTCCCAACCTCTCCTTTTTTTCTTTTTTTTTTATTCTGGGATTTATTTACCTTCTATGGCTGTCACTGGAACTGAGAGCCGGCTTTAGCTCTGAGGCTCGGCTCCAGCTCTGAGACCTCGGCTGCTGAAAGCAGGTATCTGGGATTTATTTGCCTTCTATAATTGAAACATAGTTGCAGCTCCAGCTCTGAGGCCCGGCTGGCTGAAAGCAGGTTTCTGGGGTTTGTTTAGCTTCTATAATTGCAACATTGTTTCTTAGAATGCAGCTCAGAGGCCGACAGTGGCAGGCAGGGAACCTTGGCTTCCTCCATCACTGGAGCAAGCAAGCCTCCTGTTCACTTCAGCTGCCTGGCTGCTGGCCGCCATCTTGGTTGGCAGTTAATTTGCATATCGCCCTGATTAGCCAATGGGAAGCGTGTCGGAGGTACGGTTAATTACCATGTTTGTCTAGTATTAGATAGGATTGCATATGTGAGTTCTGGTCATAACCACAATTCCCTTAATTATGCCTTAGTTCTATTTTAAAGTCATCCAATAATCACCACCACTAATTTTTATTATGGTTTCTTCATTCTTGAGGTCTTAGTTTTGATTCATCTCCTCTGGTTGGATTTTATCATTAAGACACATTTTTTAAAAGGGGTTCATAGGTGCGATTTTCTCCACCTGCATAAAATGACAGGATAGGTTGCACTTCCTTTCACACAAACTTTGCAGACACTGCTCTATCATCTTCCTGTATTGATTGATGCTTCCAAGAAATCTGAGGCTAGTTTGATTTTTCTCCCCCTTTTATAGATTTTGCTTTGTTCTGCTTGGATTCTCTCCTTATCTTCAAAGGTTGGTAAATTGCTCCAAAATATAGTTGGGATAAATAATTTAGGGTTATTTTTCCTGGATTCAGTATATCCTTTAATCTACAAATTCAAAACTTCATTTTAAATATTTTTTCTGGTGCCATTTTTGTGTGTCCTTTTCTTCTTCAGAAACACTAATTTAATAGTATGCTGAATCCACATTGCCCATCTTCCATGTTTCTCCTCAAAAATTATTTGAATGTCTTTAGTCTTTTCCATGTCAGTGTTTTTGCCTCAATCCTGCCCACTGTGTCTCTGAACAGTTTTTGCCACATTTATTAAATGCCGGTTCTCCCTAATGTGGTTTTTCAGCTCTAAGATACTTTTTCCTTGGATACTTTTAGCCCATTTTAACTCCTGTTACTGTTTAATATTCTTTTATTTAAAATCATCTATATTTTGTTTGGAATATCATTTTTAGTTTTTAAAGCACTTTGTATTTTTTTAATCAAATATAAATATATTTTTAAAAACCTTTGTTTCCTTGGACAAATTATCCTTTAATTGTTGTTCTTGTAACTGCTATATTATGCAACTGTTGTTACCTTAATGTCTGCTGTCCATCATACCCTCTTGCTACTTCCAGAAGAATTTGAGGATAGGCATCGTGTTGATTACTTTCTGGTTAATGTTCACCTTTGAATGGCATCGACTTTTAGCTGTGAGTATGGGAAGTTGGTGAGGTTGGGACAATGATAGCTTTTATTTTGGTTTCTCATTTCAAATATCCTCTCAGCAAAATCTGCCATTTTCTTTTCTCTGGGTTTTTAACATTCCAGATGTTAGTGTGATTTACAGTGGATCCCTTTAAGTCACAAGCTATCTGCTTGCTTCTCCTTCTTGCTCTACATGCACCCTTGCTGGAGGTCTCCTTGCCTGGGAGACTGTATGCCCAACAAGGACACATATTCACATGCTTAGAAGGGTAAAGCAGAAAACTTGAATGGTTCAATAAGCCTGGCAGAGATGGTGTCCAACTCAGGAGCACATGCCACTTACAGGGAACAGCTAGTCTTTGACTAGGACTGTTGGTGGCCTTGGTAGAATGGGTTAAAGAACCTTGTATTTTTTCCAAAAATCCAGAAATCTGGGTTTTTATGTGAGTTCTCCATAAAAGTTAGCAAGCAATAAAAGTAAAATACAAACATAAGTAAGGCAAATTAAATGTGACTATAAGCCACATTCAGCCTGAGAGCCTCTCATTGGAACCGCTATTGAAGGCAAAAAGTCCTGTTGCCAGGGTTTCTGCTTAGCATTCTCTTCCTCCGATTCTGTTATGGCCAACAGGTCTCTACAGAGACACTTCTCCCATGGGAATCCCATGCCCCCAGGACCAACCCTCTGGCTCCAGGGACCTGCCTTACTGCTGTGACACTTCTTTCAGGAGAATCTCTCACCTGCTTGCTTCAGTACTGAGAAGGGAAATGGCTGGTTTCAGATTTTTTTTTTAACTTTATTGATTTTTTACAGAGAGGAAGGGAGAGGGATAGAGAGTTAGAAACACTGATGAGAGAGAAACATCGATCAGCTGCCTCCTGCACACCTCCTACTGGGGATGTGCCCGCAACCAAGGTACATGCCCTTGACCGGAATCAAACCTGGGACCTTTCAGTCCGCAGGCCAACGCTCTGTCCACCGAGCCAAACCGGTTAGGGCTGGTTTCAGATTTTTTGAAGGTTCATATATCACAATTTGCATTTGGAGTTTAACATTTTTCTTGTTATTGCTTTAATTTTGAGAGAAGGACTCATGAGAAAACTCCTACTTTTTTTTTGTTTGTTTTGCTTTGCTTTTCTCAAAGGCCTCTATAGACTTTTAACATCCCGCTTCAATTTCTGCATTTTCTAGGAATTTCTTTCCTATTGCTGAAATCCATTTATTATATTAATGTGGGCTAAAAACTAGCCTTACCATTAGACAAAGGAGGCAGCTATGTATACAGATTTATTTCAGGAGAACAAATAAATCCTAAAACTCCCCTTTGCAACTCAGCAACACTTCCCCCACAATTCTCAAGCTTTTATCCTTAAATTCTATCAGCAGCTTCACTTACTTGACTTTTTATTCTTTTTAAAAATTCTGGAACCCTTATGAAGATGCAGAAATAAATTTTCCCTATTGCTTATACCTTTGAAGGGTAAGCTTTGTTAGATCCTTTTCCGAGTGTAGGTTTTGAAAGCTGGAAGAAGTAACATAGATACCTTGAGGGTAGGAGATACGTATTTGTCATAAATATGGGAGTGGAGAAAACCCTGAAAAGGGAAGTAGAAAGATAAACTTCACACCAGTTACAGTGATGGAGACAGGAGCTCAGAAGGATTACCCTCATTTTTTAAAGAAAAGACATTTACAATGACCGGCACCATTATAGAGAGTGTGATGAGATGCTTACCAAGTGAATGAATCCTGCAGCCGTGAACCAGGTACTGAAAACTATGGATAACAGTTTGGAAAACTTCAATGCATTGCTAGAGGAAGAAAGACAAAGAGCTTTTGGGTTCTGACAGTTCCCAGCACAACACAATTGCCTCATCCTCTAAAATCTTGCAACTCACAGTAGGGTTCATGGACCTGACACAAGGATATGCTCACCTGGGAGTGCGTTAATGCAGAATCCCAGGCCCCACCCCTGGTCTAGAGATCTGCGGTGTTATAGGGTCCTCTGATTCATATACATGTTAGCGTTGAAGATGCACACACCCAGTTACATACACTTGCTGAGAAACCTTATATTTTGCTATGGTATCCACTGGCCTAATGTTACACTGCATTTAAAACCGATCATATATGTATTATCATAAAATAAATTTAATAAACTGCTACATTGTCGAGAGGAATTGTACAAATGTCAGTGTCCCAGGCATCCAGAGTGGGCTTGCACAATGATACTGAGTAGGTCACAGAACTGTAGTTCCATATTGACAGCCTCAGCCCAGGACCTTTGAGTGAAGAGGATCAGATAAGCTCCTGTCTCTTAAATGAAGCCCTAGCATTTAGCTGAAATCTCTGTGGTTTCCAGGTATGTCCACCTATCACACAAGGACAGCCTTTTACCATCTTGAATGCTCCATCATGCATAAACATTTAGAAGTGAAGTCCGCCTGGCCTGTAATATTGATGTTTCTGGTGAGAACATAGAGACGCATGGAAATTTTGAGTGGGTAACATAAGACCATCCTGCTAAAACGTTAGAAGTACTGCTATATTGCTGCTCAAAGGTAGTTTGAATTATTTTTTGAGACATTTGTAAGCAATAGTTCCCTGCTGCTATTGGGCAGCTCTCATGCATGCTCTTAGGTCCTAGCCAGGAAAGACATGATTCATAACTGCAAATGTATAGAACCAAAGCCTCTGAATTGTTCTGAGTTTTTATTTGGGTAGTGGTGGTAGGGGAATCACAGCCTAAATGGACTTATACATTGTGGCTCTACAAAACAAAGAGGAAACAAAACCTTCAAAATAATTGCAAACTTTTCAGCTAGTATGTAATGTTAACACAGTGGGAGGAAGTGAGTGACTACTATATTGGCAGCTATGGGATTTTGTGATTTTTGCCCTGAAATTCTGATGAGAAATTAGTTGAATTGAAGGTGTAGTTAGCATTTTTATTTCCTAATCTAAAACAGTACGTGAGTAGTATTTGAGGAAGGGCATTTACCTGGTCCTGATGGCTCTCAGCATTTGCAAGATTTGAGGGAGTTCTAGCAGCCGCAATGCTCTTAGGAACCTTAAACCTAGAAAGCAATAGAAAGAAGAATGCTGCCAAAAGAAGAGGGTTACTCCAGAAAGTGAGCTGAATTATAACACAATGGGGAGTAGTTACACTCTTCCTCTCCTTGAAATACTCAAATATAATCCTACATAATAAAAGCCCAACAACCAAAATGGCAGAACAACCAGAATGCCCAGAGACCAGAACGACTGCGGCCCCTTGCCCCGGCCAGCCCCGCTCCCCAGAGGGGACCCCCTCCCCAATTGGGGGCATGGCAGGCCTGCAAACTGCCCACGGCCCCTCGCCCTGGCTGGCCCTGCCCCTCCACAGGGACCCCCACCCTGATCCGGGGCCCCCATCAGGGCAGGCCAGCTGGCCCTGACCTGTGCACCAGGCCTCTATCCTATATAATAAAAGGGTAATATGCAATTGACCCTAATGGCGAACAACCAGAATGACCACTCGACCAGTCACCATGAGGTGCACTGACCACCTCTTGGTCCCTCTCCCTGGCCAGCAGGCTCCTATCGCCTGATGGCGAACAGGAAGCCGGGGGTGGGTGGCAGGGGATGCAGGTGGTGCCAGGCCAAGGCCCCTGCCCTGCCAGTCGCCCCCCACACAGAGGGCAATCCGTGGTGGGGGCAGGCCCATCAAGCAGGCGGGAACAGCCAACCTCTGGGTCCCTTCCCCAAGCCGTCAGGTTCTGATCACCAGGGGTGGGTGGTGGCGGGGGGCAGGGTTGGCTGAGGGCAGCCAGGGAAGGTGGCCCTGATCGCAGGCCAGGCCTAGGGACCGTACCCGTGCACAAATTTTGTGTGCCAGGTCTCTAGTATATTATAACATTGTAGATTTAAGAATATGAGTTCTAGTTCAAATCCTAGCCCCAACCCTTAATAGGTGTTATAATCTAAAGCAATGCCCTCAACTTCTCTAGCTCTTCATCTGTAAAATGGGAATTATAAGTACCTAGGGTTGTTGAGCTAACAGAAAGCATATAAAAGTACTACTCACATTTCATTCTACTTAATTCTTCCTTAGAATAAAAAACAATTATCTATAAACCACTTAAACTTCTGACTACAGGATGTCTATGATATGCTCCTCACATTTGTATGATGCTTTACTTTATGTAGTTTGATAATAATGATAGCAAGAAATATTTTATAGATAATAAATAAAATTACACAAAATTAGAAAAAGCCACATAACTCCCATGCAGTGTCCACCTTAAAGCCTAAGTAACTATATAAATCTCTAATAGGTTATACCATGTCTAGATATGATGATCTACAGCTTTCAAAGACCAAGAGAGGTTTTTTCATCTCTCCTTGTCCATGTGGAATCCCAGCACAAAGGGGCCACAGGGGGATGGGAGGCTGGGGCCTTGCCTCTCAAGTTGTGGATGAGTCAGTCTATTAACAATAACAAACACCGACACCTTCTGTGCATTAGGTACATCACATTTCTATGTACTGAGGTTTAAAAAAAAAAGGAGAGGGTTCTGAAAATATATTACAAAGCCATACAAGTACAGTGATGAACTTTTTTAAGTGGCATTTGGGTATTATAAAGGAAAATGAAGTATACTTATGAATGATTGTTAAGGGAGTGTTTCTGATTCCAACTTTATACTTACCTAGCCAATTACTCTTCAAATAATAAGAAATAAATGTTGGTGGGATGGTAAAGATGTCTACAATTGAGTTCATTTCTAACCAGAACCTGATCTTGTCATCCGCTGCCAAAAACTATGAAATGAAAACAAAAGACCCAAATCCAATTACCCTGAAGAATTTTAAAATGAACACTAGAGTGCCTTTATTCAGCTACATTTCATTCATTAACTGGAGTTTTGATCTAATTCTATTATATACATATATACACACACACATATATGCACATACATATATTTTTACACAGCTATATGATATATGCTTACATACATTTATATATAGTACATTTATGTAGACATAAGGATTGTACCTTTAGTAAGTGTTCAATAAGTGAACATGAACCCATTTTGTTTACTGGAACTTAAAGTCTCATATTCTGACCTTTCTGCCATTCCCAGAGATTTATAATTATAGAGCTAAAAACCCTCTATTTGTGAGCAAAGAAGAAACATGATTTAAGGTAGTCTTCATGGAAAGGGTACAGTTATCTACAAATATGGCTGGCCAAGACCTGTATTTATGACCTTCTCTGTTTAGATAAGAAAGTGAGCATTTCCAGAAGGGAGAATTTGCTATAAAAATAATATTTTGATGGTCAGTGTGGTCAGAGTCTGTGCTGAAGGACAGTCATAGAAATACACATTATAAGCATATATGTATAACATATCTTTGATTTATCTATATAAAAGCCTAATATACAAATTGTCCCCTTGGGAGCTCGACCAGGAGACTGGGAGTTTGATCACTCACTGTGACGTGCACGGAGCAAAGGCAGGCCCCAGCCGGCAGCCAGAAGGCCCTGATTGGTCCTGATCACCGGCCAGGTCTAGGGACCCCACCCATGCATGAATTATGTGCACTAGGCCTCTAGTATGTATATAAAAACATGGGATGCATAAATACAAAAGAAAAGTATTTTATATAGTTAATGGCACATCAGCCATCAGTGAAGCCAATGACATTTTCAGAGGCTTGTTATTCAGGTTCTGCTAGCTTGTGATTACTACTAAAGCTTTCTCAAGGTAGGTGGAAAGCCAATAAGGAGGGCAGTGTTACTGGGTGATGATATTTTTTAAAAAAATCATTTTCATTTGTGTCAGAATTTTTGGCCTGTTTGACAGCTTCAGATGCAGGTGAGAGAGCTATTTTGTCTCATTATACTTTTAACAACTTAGGACACAGACCCTCTAACTCTAGCGCCTGACAACATAGGCCAATTGTATAACCAAGGCACACACAGATCTCTCTGTGTTGTACCTGTTTTGTTTGTCTATTTACTTCCACTTCCAACAGGTACTTACTCTCAACCCAAAATAGAAAGTAAAGAAAGCATTGAAAGTCAAATCAATGGGGATGGTTTTGTCCTCATATGAAGAACAGCTTCCAACAGGGCTGCAAAGGAAACAAGGACAGTTTATAAAGACATACATTTTAAAAGCTGTGTCTACATTGAACCAAATTAAAAGGAAGGGTAGGGAATTTTTTATTTATTCACGATGACACTTAAGTTCATATCTCAAGGAAATTTATTGTATCTTGGCAGTAGAAGTATGCATAAATAAAAGCACTAGACTGTGCATGGAGCTGAAAATAAAAGGAAAATTACCTGCTCTTTCTTTCCTAGAGTTTATTGCTTCTATTTCAGTTTTATCAGCGGGGATTCAGAGGCCTAGAGATTATGTGGCTCTTCTTAGTTTGCATGACCCTCTGCCCAGCAACAAGTTTAGGATTCTGTACCCTTCAAACACAGAGCTATTCTAGGTCAAATGAACTGACTCAAGCCAAATTCCAAAATATTTTCCTAAAAGATCAGTAAGGAATTCAGAAAGCAAAGACTTCTAGTTTCCCTAGGATCTCTAAAGCTGCCCGACTTCTGGGCCCTACAATCCCAATTTTACTTCAGCTAGAAATCCAAGGAAATTCCCAGAGGATCAGCATTGGGTTCAGATTAGATTGGATTCTGTTTAAGAAACCATCTTTGCTTTGTCATAAAAGAAGGAAATGCCTTCTGTGAAGAGCAGACAATAATTTGCTCCTTTATCCCAGGTGAGGTCTAGCATTTTCCTTTCTCAAGACTACCCAAAGTTGTTTGAAATCTATAAGCAACATTGAAATGACCACAGAATTTCCACTTCAACATCTAAAGAGTCCAAAGGCATATAAAGAAAGCCCTCCTAACGTGGCCCAAAGGAGAAGACAACAGCTGGAGGTTTGCAGTCCTAGAGACTAGGGAGTAGACACGGGCATGGCACCCTAGCCTCTAGCAATGCAGTTTGGCAGGATGCAGAAACAATTCATGTATTTTTTGTGGAGTTGGTTTTAGTGTTTTCTGGGGGGAATTAAACACTTATCCTTTTTAATGAGCTTGTGTATGTGAATATGTTTGAAAGTATATTAACCATTTTTCCTGAAAGAAAATTCTGAATTCAAGGGCAATCTTATGTTATAACAGACACAGGTGACTGCAGATTTTACTCACTCAGAAGAATTGATGAAATAGATTATAAGAGACCCAATGCTTAGTACAAAGACAAGGATCACCTGAAAAAAAAATAGAGACAAATGTACATATCCATTTTATTGACATGAATAGAGATGAATAGACAAATCAATAAACCTGTGTTTTCTTTTTATCTTGCCTATACATGTGTAGCCATTTTTCACAATTCATCTGTGTTAGTCTTCATTCATTCATTCTTTAAAGAAAAATTGATTGGGCCTTTATTGGGTATTCAATAAATGAACATGTAGTCACCCATTTTATTTACCTAATTTTAACTCTCACACAATAATAATTTGCCCCTCCTTCCGCTCCTAAAACTTTCTAATCTCAAGATGTCCTATCACTTATTAATTCATTTACTCATCAACCATTTATTAAGTGTTTAATATAAGTTGTGTACTTTATTACATGCTGGAAAATGAGGGCTGCTGGATATAGACTTGGGAGTTGAATTGCCAATGATGTTACAGTGGTCGGCAAACTCATTAGTCAACAGAGCCAAATATCAACAGTACGATTGAAATTTCTTTTGAGAGCCACATTTTTTAAACTTAAACTATAGAGGTAGTTACATTGTTATTAACTTAATTAGGGTACTCCTAAGGCTTAGGAAGAGCCACACTTGAGGGGCCAAAGAGCTGCATGTGACTCGCGAGCCGCAGTTTGCCGACCACTGTGAAGAAACAGTCTCAACCATGTCCATGAAAAGATGGTCAGGATTTTGACAGGATGTAAAGTGCTACAGTGAGAAAAAAAAAATGAGTGCTTTTAACCTGCCAATGTTCCTGGTCTATAAAATAAGCAGAGCTTGTAGAATATAATTAGAAGTGTATCCACGCAAAACCCATGATGCATTTGGATGAAATTTTTTGCAGCCCCAGTGACTTTTCAGGTCAAATTTAGTTAACCAAATATTCCTTCAGTTATTGCTAGTTTCCGAACCATTTATTTCTTTAATATGTTCAGTCTAGTGTAGTATTAATAATACTAATAATAAAAATTAAGTTTATTTACAATTAAAGCTTTACCTTCTTTCAGCCCAGGTATTCCTGGGGCAGGTTACCTGTACTGAGAAAGAGGTCGGTTTCTTCTCTAGTAACCCTTTTAGGGGTTTTTATTCCTAGTTGCCCACTGACGAGGCTATCTGTGGCCTCTGCAGAATTGCAGGTCAGTGTGGAGGAGTGGACAGAAAGGGAAGGCCAGAGAAGAAATGTTGGACTTGACTGGTCTTAGATCACTATGTTCTCACCCTGGGGCCTGAGCATGGAAAGTCTGCAATTTTTACTTTCATGAGTTCTTTCATTGCTCTTTGGAGAACCCAATTCAAGTCCTTCAACAACTATTTCTTTAGTACATATCATGACCCAAGTATTATTCTGGTGACTGGGATATATCAACGACCTACACATAGTTCCCTGCATATATGGAGCATAACTGATATGGTATGTTAGAAAGTACATACTAGGAAAATAAAATAGAGCAAAGTAAAAGGGATCAGAAATGCAAGGGGAGGGGGCAGAACAGTTGCAGTCTGGATAATATTTAATTGCTATGTGTCCCATGTGTGGTTGCCATGAATTGAATGAAAACATTCTCTTGCTGGTTGCTCATAAATCTTTCCTCAGTACATTTCACACTCCTATATTCTGCGGGAATCCTCACCCACCAAATGCCTTCTTGATCGGGTAAGAAATACTCTAACATGGGACTCACATCTGGCCCATGGACCAGATCAAGCATTCTTTGCCACCAACAAACACTGGAAGGAGAGATTATCTTCAGTGTGGCAACTTCTCTGGCATAGAGCAGCTAGCCAGGTAGTCCCTTATCAGAAATGAACTAGATACCAGTTCACTGTGTCTCCAAAATGCCAAGAGATGCAAATTTCTGAGTGGTCTCTCCTAAGCCTCTTTCTTAGGGCTTGACATGAGAGGATATACTACTATGCTTCTGCCACAACAGAACTCCTTCCAAAAATCCTTTTCTATTCCCAACCTACCCTAATTTACATGTGATTGGGTAATGTGCTAAAAGCTTCAACTGGGTTTCTTCTAATTGCTTAGTAAGTGGCAGTTTGCAGCTTACTTAAAACATGAATGTTACTGGCATCTATTTTAACATCTGAATTAAGTGATGCTGAGATAATGCTAAGAACAGGAAAAATGCTGGCGCATATATGGAGATACATATGTTTGCATATTAATTATTAATACATCATTTTCATGAATTTTTAAATTTTCTTTACATATGAACATATTTTTTCCTCTCTTACTAAATTTGATAAATAATTCAAGTATAAATCATACATTGATAGACTTCCAGAAAGATAGTGGCAAGCCATATGTTTACAAACCTCCAAAATTATAGAAATTAACCAAAAAAAGAAGAAATTGTTAGTTTTATTGAAACTGAGAACATTACAAACCTCATGTCACAAACCTAAAGAACATTATGTAGAAATAATATATAACAAACAACAAAATGTATAGCAAACCAAAAGAAGGCACTGGGACCTAAAGGCTTGCAAACACTGTTCAGTGAGTCAGGTGAAAGTGAGAGAATTCTGAGAAGACCTCCTGGGTTGAAGGGGCAAAATCTGAAAGGCTAGCTATTTGGCAGGGGTATAAAGCTATTCACCTGAGGCACAGATCAAAGAAGGAGACACAAAGCCAGAGGGCCTAGGGGAGGCACCCTGAAGCCATGCAGTTGCTTAGGACAGTGATGGCGAACCTATGACATGCGTGTCAGAGGTGACACGCGAACTCATTTTTTTGGTTGATTTTTCCTTGTTAAATGGCATTTAAATATATAAAATAAATATCAAAAATATAAATCTTTGTTTTACTATGGGTGCAAAGATAGAAAAAAATTTCTATATGTGACATGGCACCAGAGTTAAGTTAGGGTTTTTCAAAATGCTGACACGCTGAGCTCAAAAGGTTCACCATCACTGGATTAGGAGGAACCTCTGAGCTAGGAGCAACACCATGGAAAACTATCAGAGAAAAAAAAACTGAAGAATTTGAGACGTCATCCGTACAGTCCCATGTGTAGAGCTGCTGGCCACAGCATTATCCCTCAGGTGTGTCTGTGTGGGAAAATGCACAGTAAATTGAGGTTTTGATTTCCACAGTGGGGCTTAAATCCCCCTGTTTAGTTGGTGGGTAATTATGGGTATCTTCAGAATACAAACAGCAATCAACGAGGATAATGAGGGATCTTTACTTAAGAATATTAGCAGACAATAGAAAATTGACAGTTAGATGGGAAGTGTAGGAAAACAGAAGGATCAGGCAGAAAAAAATAGATGAAATGAACTCCAAGGAAAGAGTGAACATAGACTATGTAATTAAGATTTTTTAAATTACAATTACTGTTCTTAGATTCTAAAATTCTGTTAAATAGTACTGGAGGATTTGGAAGGCAAAAAGAGAATATGAGGATCACACAAATATGAGGTTAACACAAATGTCATATCTGCAAGAAGCTGCACCCCAATACTGGCTGAGAGATCAACACAAAGAGATCAGGATTTTCAACATTTAGCATCTTACAAGAAGTGCTCTTGGGAGTGAGATTCAGACCTGGGAGGAGGGGTCCTGGCTTGGCTGGTAATGACACCTCTGGGGAGATGCTATGAACCTGGTTCTGTCAGTGTTGGGGGAAAAAAACAAAAAACCAGAAATAATTTTTTGTATAGTTTTCAGGTACTGACTGCTACAGGAGTGAAAAGCCATTGAATAGGTGAGGCTGAAAAATATAGAATAGATGCAAAACACAGAAGGAGCAGTTCTCTTCCCCTCCTCTAGGCTTCCTGTTCCCTTGTACCTGGTTTCAGCAGAGCCTAACTAGGAGCATAAGGGAGTTCACACAAAAGACATGTAATTGCTTCAGTTAAGCATAACCAATGGACACAAGACACTGGTGGGGGGTAGGGGAGGCTGGGGGAATGTCAAGGGGGAAAAAAAGGAGACATATGTAATACTCTTTGTAATACTTTAAGCAATAAAACAAAATTTTAAAAAAAGACATGTAATTGCTAAGTCCTGAGCTCACATCACAAAGCAGAGGATAGAGGGTGGATATGAGATAAGATATAAGAGCTTAGTATCTAGCAGGTAGCCTTAAGTGCTAGAAGACACTGAAGCAATACTTACAGAGATTTTAGAGAAAAAAAAAGAATTGCAAACCAAGAATTCTACATCCAACCAAATTGTTTTTCACTTGTGAGAACAAGATATAAAAACCATTTTGCAAATAAATATGGGAAGTACTCAAGAAAAAAAAAACCACCAAAAAGATAAAAAATAGTGTCTAATGAAAGGTACAAATAACTCATTTTTTTACCCTAAATCAAATATTAAGAAAAAATCTTAACAGGTGTATAATGCTAAAAACAAAATAGTAATCTAGAACTGAATGTCACATTAGTTCAATTTCTGGAAGAAAAGAAAGGTGGTGTGACAAAGATATCATGCAAGAGGAGGATATGGATATAAAATGTGCAGAGATACAAAGAGAAATACAGAATGGTAAGTTTATCCTGAATCTCATTTACCTAATACATCTAAGCTATTGTATTAAGAATGGAATTATCCAAGTCAATGATGCAAGAAAATAAAAGTAATAAAAAGTAAACAAATCAGAAATACAAATATGAGCTAATGGTCAGTGCTTATACTAGTATAACCTGGTTTACATGTATTATCATATAATTTTCCCTACAATATTTTGAAAGAGGTTATTCACATTATAAGAATAAAATCCACTAAAAAAAAACTAACTTGCCCAAGATTACACAATAGGAAATGGAGGAGCCAACATCGTGTCTATATATCCCAAAACTAACAACCACCTTGTAATTCTGCCCCCAGAACCTAGACTGGATGAGCTTAGTTGTGTATCCAATAACCGTTCTCCCTTTTTTTTTTTTCCTTACTAACAGACATCCCATTTGTTTGTTAAGCCACTAATATTAAATATTCAGTTATGCAGCAAATTCAATATCTAAATGTTATAAAGACCAATAAAATTGATC